TTAATCATGGAACAAGATGTACAATTTTTAATTCTAATCTATACACTCTCCTTTCGAGTTCACATAAAATACAAAATATCACCAAAATTCCTTCTGATTTTGTATTATCTACTATTACATGTCAAAAGAGTACAAAAAAATGAGTTAGTTACACTATAATCTTAAAAACACATACTTATAAACAAACCAACTAGTTAAAAGTGGATATGATTCTTTTAACTAATCACGTTCATTTTATGGATATATCATAATAAGACAATATTACATCTTTTTCAAAATAAAAATTCCTAATTTTTCTTACTATTGTTAAAGAATTATTGAAAATTGCAATTTTAAAGTTGTTAAATAATAGTAAAATATAAAAAATATTTTATTATAGGCGCATCATAGCCGTACTCCTTTTTTTTTTTTTTTTTAAGTTTTGTCATATCGTTGTATCCATATCATATCGTACCCATNCGACATATCGCTTGAACGGATGAGCCCTTGCCATCGTTCAAGGTGCAATCTCATCTAGTCATACTGATGTCAATAATGTCCAGTGTCAATCAATTAAGAATGTGAAAAAATAAAGTAAAATGTTCTCTGATAAACTCAAGTATCAAAAATTATGCTTCTGTTTCGCACCCCTGCCAACAAATAATAATGAAAACAAAAGAAATTCAAGGAACAGTTTAGCGCAATGCCCAGTTTGAACAGTTTACTTTACACTTAATTTTGAAGAAAAATATTTATTTTGATAACATTGTAGTTTAGGCAAGTTTGTCACTATTTAAATACCCACCAAAGGCAGAATAAAAAAATAAGAGAACACAAAGAAGTAATTTATAACCTAGACAAGTTTGACTGCCTATCCTTGTATGGTATGCCATGCGGCCCATGCATTTGTTAGTTTTCAAACATATGGCAGCAGAAAAACAGCAGAATATTTTGTAAACAGTTCAAGGATCGCAACCTATGAAGCACGGATATTCCGTTAAGGTCAATGTACACGTATCGGATACAATCGGATACTCCAAGTTACGTATCGCATACGTATCCGATAATTAATAAAATATGTGGATACTTCACAAATACTTTTAATCATGGAACAAGATGTACAATTTTTAATTTTAATCTATACACTCTCCTTTCGAGTTCACATAAAATACAAAATATCACCAAAATTCCTTCTGATTTTGAAGACACAAGTATTTTTTTAGTATTATCTACTATTACATGTCAAAAGAGTACAAAAAAATGAGTTAGTTACACTATAATCTTAAAAACACATACTTATAAACAAACCAACTAGTTAAAAGTGGATATGATTCNAGATACTTCACAAATACTTTTAATCATGGAACAAGATGTACAATTTTTAATTCTAATCTATACACTCTCCTTTCGAGTTCACATAAAATACAAAATATCACCAAAATTCCTTCTGATTTTGTATTATCTACTATTACATGTCAAAAGAGTACAAAAAAATGAGTTAGTTACACTATANACTTGTTCCCATAGCGACATCTAGGAGAGCAAACGGTAGATAGCCTTACCCCCATTTTTGAGAGGCTAATTACTAAACTCAAACCCACGACATATCGCTTGAACGGATGAGCCCTTGCCATCGTTCAAGGTGCAATCTCATCTANTCTTGTTCCCATAGCGACGTCTAGGAGAGCAAACGGTAGATAGCCTTACCCCCATTTTTGAGAGGCTAATTACTAAACTCAAACCCCGCGACATATCGCTTGAACGGATGAGCCCTTGCCATCGTTCAAGGTGCAATCTCATCTAGTCATACTGATGTCAATAATGTCCAGTGTCAATCAATTAAGAATGTGAAAAAATAAAGTAAAATGTTCTCTGATAAACTCAAGTATCAAAAATTATGCTTCTGTTTCGCACCCCTGCCAACAAATAATAATGAAAACAAAAGAAATTCAAGGAACAGTTTAGCGCAATGCCCAGTTTGAACAGTTTACTTTACACTTAATTTTGAAGAAAAATATTTATTTTGATAACATTGTAGTTTAGGCAAGTTTGTCACTATTTAAATACCCACCAAAGGCAGAATAAAAAAATAAGAGAACACAAAGAAGTAATTTATAACCTAGACAAGTTTGACTGCCTATCCTTGTATGGTATGCCATGCGGCCCATGCATTTGTTAGTTTTCAAACATATGGCAGCAGAAAAACAGCAGAATATTTTGTAAACAGTTCAAGGATCGCAACCTATGAAGCACGGATATTCCGTTAAGGTCAATGTACACGTATCGGATACAATCGGATACTCCAAGTTACGTATCGCATACGTATCCGATAATTAATAAAATATGTAGATACTTCACAAATACTTTTAATCATGGAACAAGATGTACAATTTTTAATTCTAATCTATACACTCTCCTTTCGAGTTCACATAAAATACAAAATATCACCAAAATTCCTTCTGATTTTGTATTATCTACTATTACATGTCAAAAGAGTACAAAAAAATGAGTTAGTTACACTATAATCTTAAAAACACATACTTATAAACAAACCAACTAGTTAAAAGTGGATATGATTCTTTTAACTAATCACGTTCATTTTATGGATATATCATAATAAGACAATATTACATCTTTTTCAAAATAAAAATTCCTAATTTTTCTTACTATTGTTAAAGAATTATTGAAAATTGCAATTTTAAAGTTGTTAAATAATAGTAAAATATAAAAAATATTTTATTATAGGCGCATCATAGCCGTACTCTTTTTTTTTTTTTTTTAAGTTTTGTCATATCGTTGTATCCATATCATATCGTACCCATATCACAAATCCATATCCATGCTTTCTAGATCACAACACTCCAATAAACCGCATCAAGCAAACAATTAGGGACAGATTGGCAATTCAAGGATTCAGCTCCAAATCAATTACTGGTGCAAAATGGATCTGACAAACAATTGCCTCAATTTATAAGAAGTGGACTTGCAAAACTTTGGGATACACTTGCTACAGAAAGAATTTGTGCTGACAGCATCCCTAGCACTTCCAATAATTCTTGCATTGCTTAGCAGCACATTGTATGGCTTTACATAAAGATAGTTCCTTGTTTGGATGAGCATCTCACGGGTACTCACAGTTGCGCACCCCTCATAGATTTGTCATTAACACACTATAGAAGTGTCTTTTGCTATTTCTTTAAAGAGGGGGCTACCCCTTCTTTGTACGTCAAGGACTTCATCTTCGATGAAAATAACTTTGCTTCCCGGAAAAACAAAATCAAACACACACCTGTGACAATCTAATCGGAAGCTAAGAGGGACAGAGGAGTAATTAACAGCCAGACGCTACGGCAGGAAGCTATGCCTTCTAGGCCTGGGGTAACACGATCTACATGGCAAAAGCCTTTCACAGTAAAATTTCGGAGCAAATTAGGTCCTGCAGGGAGGGAAGGAGAGAGGGAAAAAAGGGCGACAAACTTTGCCTTAAATCTACGATGGAATATAAAAGAATACCACTAATGAGTGCTCCTAAAAATTGCTCTAAGGAGGAAACTTCTGTAGTAGAAGTATTATTACACAACAGGCCCAGAGGGCAGAGCTTCTTGCCTTACCACGAGTATCTGCCCACTTGATTACTCTCTCTTTCACACACACATTCATTGTCAAATCCCAGCATTATACCAGCCAAGCTATGATGCTTAATACAAACTGGTGTTTCCAGAATATGCTCACCACCCTACGACCCCTTGATCAAGGTCGCATGACCCCAACTATGATATGTCTGAGATCTGGATCCCCAAAAGCCTCCAACTCCGAATTTTAATCATATTACCATATCAAAACCCTGACCACAAATTTCTCCAACATAAAGAAAATTGCAGAAAAAAGTTTGAAAACAGGGAAGGGAAAAAATTTAACAAAAAAATCAGTATTACAATATCCATTAGAAACCAAATCAAGAAAAGATGAAGAAGCATACCCAGCCCAGGTTCATCAAGATAAGTGCTTCGAACATACAGTGTTCTCCCCTCTCTCTTCCTCAATAGGCAATCGTCTCTCCTGTCACCCCTCTTGATTTCAAACCGATTGCATATGCAAGAAGTTTTTTCCTCAGAGAGGATCTTTTGGGGGGGGGGGGGTGTTACTGGAAGGACTGAATGTATTTTCATTGTCAATGATTGTACCCATGGTAAGGAAATAAAGTGACCTCATGAGCATAAACCAGAGAAAGCATCTGTGTGGTTGAAAAGCCAAAAATGTCCTCCCCCCAAAAAACAACATTATATTGATTCAACAGAACAGAAAAAATTCCAAACCTCCCATAGGTTAAGTTAATTCAGCAGCTGGAATCCCTACGCACCGATCCCTATTAAAGTTATATCTGTACTCTTCTAAACCCTAGCTCATCCTGCACCCTCTGTCTCACCACATTTTTAGGTCTATTTTTGAATTCTTAACACAATTATAAAATTAACATTGACTAATTATTAGTGTATGAATATATCATTTCACACAATAAAAAAAGTTATCACAAATAGAAAATTTTATAAAATAACTATGCCTACAGATGTATAATTGCATATAATTTCTTACAAAAGTGAATGGGACCCAGATAATAGTTTTAATGTGAATCGCGACACGTGTCCGTACCCGCAACTCACACCAAATCAACCCACAATCTAGGTTACATTGATACGAGCCAATCATGAATTATATAGTTCAAGGCAAGCATTAAACACCTCAAAACAATGTAGCCATGTTCACAGTTTATATTCACCTTCTTCGGTATCGAAGATGCGTTAATCATTCATGAAAAAGGTAAGACATCCATTCCAAAAGGATGGAGGAAAATGACTTATCCTTATAGAAGAATAAAGAGGCACAACTTGTAGCAAGTATAAAGCAAGAAAGTTTGCCAGCCACATGAAAACTTCAAGAAATGATGGGGGGCAAAATAAAATGTCAAAAACGCTCAACTAGAGAAAAGGTACCATATCAAACTCATAAGTAAACCATATTACTCACTTGTAGTTATGGCTGAAATTCTGGAACACAACACTCAGACCTTCCATAAATGCTACCGAAAGTGTGGCTGCAGATGCGACATGAGACGGAGACGATTCCTTCACAAAAGACCCAGAAGAAACTACAGTCAATGTTCTGAATACGAGAATGTTGCAGTGTTAGAAATCAGCATAACATAAGGAAATCCATTGAGGTTCGAACTTGAATTTGCCATTCAAATGTAAAACGTAGTGGCTAGACCATCTTTTCTTCTTTGTGAGTCAGAAAATTTTGGTCTATTCTAAAATTGGATCCATCCTACGAAGTAGACTCATTCTACAGAAGTTTTCGAAGAGACATCAGACGTGGTAAAATATTTACAGGCTAAAACAGAGAAACGATGTGGCAATCAAACTCAAAAAACAAACTCTTGGGTATTTCAAAACGTTCAGCCCAACTTCAAATTATTTTGTAGTGTGTCATAGCCAGGCTTGTGTCCTATTTTTTATGATTTGTTAGTGTCATGGTCTTGTGTCCATGTCTATGCTTCATTGCTCCAAAACTTAAGGCCAACGCCCTTTTCACTTCATCCATATGGATTTTTATCTATGGTAACATCTCTTCTGAAAATCGCTTCACCTCCTAATATTCTCCCATTTTTACTCTTACTTTAGTTGAAGTCATGTCCAAATCATATATAACTTTCGCACCAAACTTGAAACTTTTATATCATATAGTATTTCTGGGAGTTTGTAAAACTAATATATAAAATGCAATTTTAGCAAAAGTAGACGTTGAAATAGTGCAATAGCAACGATTGTGAAAATCAATATCAATAGTCAACTATTTCGATATGCGGATCAATTATCCACAAGGGAATATTGGAGACAATATTACTCATAAAATCAAAATAGGATGGACTCTAGAGAAATGTATACGGCATTTTATGTGATCAGCGCATAACTTATGAAAGATAAGATCTACAAGACATCCCTATCAAGAAAAAAAAGATCTACTAGACATCCACTAAGGCAACAATATTTTGTGGCACACAATATGGGCAATTACAAAACAATATGCTCAAAAACTAGTTGGTGGCATAAATGAAAATGTAAAGATGGGTGTGTTGTAACACCAGAAATGCTACAATCAAGAATGAGTATATTCATTAAACGGTAGAAATAGTATCAATATAGATGATAAATTATTGTATATTCATGAAACGGTAGAAATAGTATCAATATAGAAGATAAATTATTAAAGAATCGACTTAAATGGTTTGACATATTTATAGAAGACTATTACTGTATCAGTGAGAAAAAGTGATGAAACACATATCGATGGTAATGGGATTGATAGAACTAGAGCGAAATTAACTATGAATGAGATAGTCATATAACATATGTAGATTGCAATTTGAAAGAAGATATGTTCTTTGATGATGTATAAGGGTGAAACATGATTCTTGTAGTCAACTCTAGACAGTTGGGATAACCCTTCGTTGAGCGGGCTGAAAACTACATATTAAACTAAAATTTAACTTTTTAGCAAATCAAATACATTGTGTTGTATTTGAAAATTCACCTTCTCTCATCTTTCTCATGCTACTCCAGTTCCAGTATGTATGTTATTGATCACACATAGAATTCTAGTCATACTAATAGGCTTAACTTAATCTCTAGTTAGCAAATTGTTTTAGTTATTTTTTTATTTTCTGTAATATTTTATGTTTTATGAGTCTTATAGATGGCATTTATGGTTTTNTGTGATATCTTTCTCTTCTATAACTCACCATTATCAGCATTTTGGAGACTCTCATTTGCTTCCTCTTAGTTGAGCGTCCAAGAGGCTTATTGAGACCAAGCAGATCTACTAATAGGCTTAACTTAATCTCTAGTTAGCAAATTGTTTTAGTTATTTTTTTATTTTCTGTAATATTTTATGTTTTATGAGTCTTATAGATGGCATTTATGGTTTTAGTCTTTTTAAAAAGTCTTGTGACTGTCGGGTGAGTTTTTAATTATTTTGGAGGCCAAGGATTAAAGAGTTATTAAGGTGATCAAGTGCTAGGATGCTAGGGCTGTTGTAACCCCAGCATAAATACCTCTTATGAATCTTTGTAACAGTTTTTTCTTTTTCTTATTCCAAAAAACCTGATTTTCTGTCTGTCTTGGGTCTCTTTGCTCTAGAAATTCATATATTCTAGTTCCATATTTGATTCAAGTGTTTTTTTTCTTGTTATGTAATTGCTGAAAATTCATTAAAAAGTGTTGATTCTAGCTCTAAATAGCAATATATAGTAGATCTAAGGATTTTGTTCCATCAATTTGGTATCAGATCCTAAGAACTCTAGATTTACATCATGGCCAGACATGGTAAAGATCATCGTGGAAGAGGAAATCAGTTCCAGCAAAATGAGATGACTGAGATGAGGCATATAATTGAAGAGTTGTCGTGAACAGTACAAACAGTACAACAACAGGAAGGTGCGGANTCATGGCCAGACATGGTAAAGATCATCGTGGAAGAGGAAATCAGTTCCAGCAAAATGAGATGACTGAGATGAGGCGTATAATTGAAGAGTTGTCGTGAACAGTACAAACAGTACAACAACAGGAAGGTGCGGACGCTCGTATGGAGATTTCAGAAGGCAATCGCGACTCTTTCGACATGCCGAAAGGTAGTCTAGAGGATGATGATGAAGTAGAAGACGAGAATCACTTCCATGAAATCGAGCAAGTAGACAATCCGAAACGGGGTGGATTAGAGGAGAGATTGGTATATGCCCTTGATTTAAAGGAATTAAAATTGAAATTCCCAATTTTTTCGAAAAGATGTATGCCAAAGATTATTTGGATGGGGAAGCTAGTTTGGAGACCTATTTTGAGTGAAAACCCATGGCTGAAGAGAGAGAGGTGTTATTTGTGAAGAGAGAAAGGTGCTATTTGTGAAGTTTAAATTGAAGGGTACTACACTTCAATGGTGGAACAGAGTTTTAGTACAACGATCTCGACAAAGCAAGCGAAAAATCTGCACATAGGAACATATGAAGGTAAAGATGTGAAAGCAATTTTTGCCAGTCAATTATGCAATGGAGTTGTATGAAAGATTTTACTGCTTTAAACAAAGGGGCATAATGATAGAAGAGTATAAACCAAGTGGTGTAAGCAATAGGGTGGTTGATAGAGGTGAAAAAGGCAAGGCAAATACAATGTTTGATGAAAAATGTGTTGCTGGTGCAAATAGTTCAAAGGCCGAGAATGCTTCACAAGTCTTTGTTTCACTTGTGGAGGAAAATGACACATCTTATGCATGCCCACAACGAAGAGTCAACTTAGTAGAGCTTGAGGATGAGAATGAGGAAGAGGAAGCAACAGAACCTGTTTATGATGAATATGTTGATGGTGAGGAAGATATTGAAATCATTCCCATCCAAGATGAGTCCTTTGGCGTATGAAGAGTGATAACAACACCCAAGATAAAAAAAAAACAGAGGATTGGAAGAGGCATAATATTTTTGCATATAATTTTTGCGCTGGTAAAGTTTGTAATGTTATTCTTGATAGAGGTATGATAGTGATCGAAAAGGAATTGGATAAGCTTAAATTAAAGAATTTGAATTATTATTTATTTTAGTATTATCATTATTCCACCTATGACTTGGAATTTTATGCACTTGTTTGAGGCGTTCAACATTGGAAGCATTGCCTAGCACATAGAAAATGAGTTGTCTATTCTGATAATCAAGCCTTGACCTTTGAGGTACTTGAATTCACAGAAGAAGCTAAATTCCAAGCATGCCAAGTAGAGTTCTTGTCTACAGGAGTTTTACTTATTCTCTAAAATACAATGCTGGTAAGTCTAATAAAGTTGCAGATGCATTGAGTAGGCGAACTCTATTGTTGACAGTGATGAGTACACAAGTAATTGGGTTTGAAAAACTGGAAAATCAAAATGAAAAAGACCCATTTTTCAGCTCTATTGTAGCTGAACTACAAGGTTCAACAGGAGGAAACAAGTTGTCATATATGTTATAGGATGGGTATTTATTCGAGGAAAATCAGTTGTGCATTCCTACTGGATCCCTACGCAAGCAGATTATTAGGGAACTTCATGGCAATGGTTTAGGAGGCCATTTTGGAAGGGACAAGACAATGGCGATGGTGGCTGATTGCTATTATTGGCCAAAGATGTATAAGATGTGGAGAAATTGGTTAGAATGTGTCCGATTTGCTTATTTGGCAGGGAGAGCTCGCAAAATGCTGGTTTGTACCCTCCATTAACCACGCCAGAAGCTCCTTGGGTACATATTATATTAGCATGGATTTTGTTTTGGGACTTCCAAGGATAGTTAGACGATATGATTCTATTTTTGTTCGGGTGGACCATTTTTCTAAAATGGTCAATTTTATTCCTCGTTCAAGAACTACCGATGTCATACGTTGCTGATTTATTCTTCAAAGAAATGGTGAGGCATGGTATTCCAACTTCAATTGTCGCTGATAGAGATGCCAAGTTTATGGGCACTTTTGGAGGACACCATGGAGAAAACTTGAGACTGAACTCAAGTATTCTAGCACTTGTCATCCACAAACGGATGGACAAACGGAGTAGTGAACTAAAGCTTGAGTAACTTCTTGAGATGTCTTGTTGGGATTTATGTGAAGACATGGGATTCTATTATACCACAACCAGAATTTGCATATATTAATTCAATGAATAGAACTACGAAAAAAACTCCATTTGTTGTAGCTTATGGGACTTAAACCTCAACATGTTCTTGACCAAGTACCACTTCCGCAAGAGGCTAGAGTGAGTGAAGATGAAAAGGCTTTTGCAGATCACATTAGAAGAGTTCAAGAGGAGTAAAGGCAGCCATTACATCTAGTAATGAATCCTATGCAATAGCAACTAGTTAACAGTGACGAGCTAAGGATTTTGATTAAGGTGACATGGTGTTAGTGCATTTGAGGCGAGATAGATTTCCTAAAGACACTTACNCAGTAAAGGCAGCCATTACATCTAGTAATGAATCCTATGCAATAGCAACTAGTTAACATTGACGAGCTAAGGATTTTGAATAAGGTGACATGGTGTTAGTGCATTTGAGGCGAGATAGATTTCCTAAAGACACTTACTACAAGCTCAAGTCATGAAAGTTTGGACCATGCAAGGTGTTGAAGAAAATTAGCTCCAATGCCTATATGCTGGAATTACCACCAGATTTGCAAATTAGCCATGTATTTCATGTGTCTTTCTTATGTGTTTTAGGGATTTGATGGAGAAGCAGTTTCAAGATATGCTCAGATTAAACAACTTCCAAAGGTGCAAACGGATGTTGTTGAAGATGTGTTGGACGTCAAAGAGGTAAAATCAAGGAGAATGAATCAGGANCGCAAATTAGCCATGTATTTCATGTGTCTTTCTTATGTGTTTTAGGGATTTGATGGAGAAGCACTTTCAAGATATGCTCAGATTAAACAACTTCCAAAGGTGCAAACGGATGTTGTTGAAGATGTGTTGGACGTCAAAGAGGTAAAATCAAGGAGAATGAATCAGGATAGGCGCTTCTTGGTGAAGTGGTTGGGCAAACCAGCTAGTAAAAGTACATGGATCGCTGAGGAGGAGTTGAAAGGGATTGATCCAGAGGTTTATGCCAAAGTTATGTAGGCTTTCTCGCCGAAGTCGAATTTCTTCCAACTTGGAGGGATTGATGTGGGAGCATCCAAGAGGCTTATTGAGACCAAGCAAATCCACTAATAGGCTTAACTTAAAGCTCTAGTTAGCAGATTGTTTTAATTATCTTTTTATTTTATGCAGTATTTTATGTTTTATGTGAGTCTAATAGATGGTATTTATGGTCCTAGTCTTTTTAAAAAGTCATGTGATTGTCATGCGAGTTCGTAATTATTTTGGAGGGCTAAGATTAAAGAGTTACTAAGGTGACAAGGGTTAGGATGCTAGGGTTGTTGTAACCCTAGTATAAATATATCTTTTATGAGTCTTTGTTGCAGTTTTTTCTTATTCTTATTCCAAAAAACCTGATTTTCTGTCTTTCTAGGGTCTCTTTGCCCTAGAAATTCATATATTCTTGTTCCATCTTTGATTCTAGTGTTTTTTCTTGCTATCGTATTGATGAAAATTCATATATCCTTGTTCCATACAATTAAATATGTATGTCCTATGATACATATAATAATCGTGCACAAAACTAAAATACCTATACAAAACTCGGTCTCTCTTTTATCAGCATCTCTCCGAGAGAATCTACTCTCACCTCAAAAGTTAAATCAGCGGCAAACCATAGGGGCCATAATTTACAATTGTTTATCCATATTGACCTCCTCTATATATCAACCTTGAGTAAACAATTAGTGGGAATATCTAATATAAACCTGAGCAACTCTTTCCTTTCTAAAACTTTAGTTGCATGTCTCCTTGCTAGGAAGCACAGACACTTCATTTTGGGTAGAGTGTCGGTGTCGGACACGAACACGCTTTAGACACGTGTCGAACACGTTAAAATTAGTGTCCGATTTTTGTATTATTAAATTTTGTTTAGGACACGTTTTGGACATGTGGCCGACACGTTGGGGGACACGTTCTGAGATTTATTTTCAATTTTTTGAGAATTTTTTTAGATAATTTTATAATTAAGAGTCATTTTTATAATTTTAAAGGGATACGAGTCACAATCATAATATAAAAGAAGTTATAATCATTACATTAAACATAAGACATGAATGTAATATAATTTTGGATAAGAATACAAACTTATATACAAATGAAATAGTCTTTTAATATGAAAGTAACGTTAGAAAAAATGGGATTACAAAATTTAAGCTCTTGAAATTTGATGAAAATTAGTATTACAAAATGGAATATTTTTTAAAGTAAAAGTTGTAGAAGTCATTGATTATTGAATCATAAATGTTAANTTAATATAATTTTGGATAAGAATACAAACTTATATACAAATGAAATAGTCTTTTAATATGAAAGTAACATTAGAAAAAATGGGATTACAAAATTTGAGCTCTTGAAATTTGATGAAAATTAGTATTACAAAATGAAATATTTTTTAAAGTAAAAGTTGTAGAAGTCATTGATTATTGAATCATAAATGTTAATGTTGAATGTGTATCAGTATATCTTATATTATAACTTTTATGTGATGATATCATGATGTAAATTTTTAAAATTAGGGAAAAGATGAATTCAAAGATTATTATGATGATAATATTTTTATTTTATCGAATGATTTTATATATATATATATATATATATATATATNAGGAAAAGATGAATTCAAAGATTATTATGATGATAATATTTTTATTTTATCAAATGATTTTATATATATATATATATATCGCTAACGTGTCCATGTCCTACCTTTTTGAAAAATTTCGTGTCGGCATGTCCGTGTCGTATCCGTGTCCGTGCTTCTTAATCTCCTTGTTTGAACAGTTACTCACTTCAAAGCCATCGTGCCTTGATCCATGATTTCAAACACAATAATGAGTCAAATTCAACTAGAACTTTTGTTCTTGAATGGAGAGTCGATGTTTATCTTCCATTCATTGGAGATTTCTCTAATTGCAAAGAAGATAGTCACCCAGGCCAGAAAATAGTTGCTTAAATATTTATAAACCTTCATGGACATTTCATTGCGACCCAAATCCCTTTCATGTTTTCATCTTTCGAAAAACTTCCCCCTTTGAGATAAGTAAATATTTTCAAATGATTATATGATACAGTCATGAAGCCCTAAAACTAAGAACTTCATGCGTTGTCCAAATCCTTGCTCCAATTCACTCAACACCCTATGTCAGTATAGCAAACATCACCCTTTAGGGAAATCTTTTTGTGATTTCCTTGTTCCTAACTTTCTGCCATGATTTGTAATAGGCTCCTATTGCATCAGTACTTGGACTCCCACACTTCCCCGGCCAGTAGAATAGGTACTGGCCCATTCTATTTGAAATGAAAATTTATTGAATAAATCTTCTCTACACTTTAAATCAAGAACATTTGCCATAAATCACGACCTCTAGAGAACTTACGGCTAAATTGGAATTTTCAATTTTCTTGTCCTCCTTAAATGATCAAGGATACCAACCAAGAATGAAGCATGTTACCTTGAATCCGTCAGGAAGGACCTCTGCCACGACCATCCAGATCATACACCCAGCTGCGAAGCCCGTAGCAAATGGCAAGAATTTGTTAAATGCATCCGCACATATAAATGAAGGCACTGCTACAATAGGCTGCATAAAAAACAAATTTTATCCTTATGGTCACTCAAATGTTGTATTGTCTTTCTTCTTGTGCTGTCACAATAGGTTTGCAAATATATAGAAACATAAAATAAATCACAAACTACCCCCAAAAAACTACCGGAGAGGTTGAAGTGTTGCCAAAATAAGCTCCTTTGCACTGGGACAAATTATATTGTTTTGCCTAATGTGACATGGACGCTACACCACCCATGAATCCAGGATGATACAAATATTACTATCCAGTCTTATCAACAGAAGGAGCCAGTTATTTCATTTTCCTATAAGGGTTCAAACATTTGTTTATAATATTGAGTATCATACGGCCTGAGCATCAATTTTCCTGCTGCACTGTGCAAAATACTCAAACCCCATACTGGGAGAACAAGGAGCTCCATATTACCTGGGGCAATGATGTAATTACACTCCATAACATTGCATTCTGCGGTGAAACCCCCCTTGATGCAAGCACCATACTCACAGCTAACCCTTCTGGTATGTTGTGCACAGCAATAGCCAAAGTCACCAAAAGGCCCTGGGATAGACCTTTCGAACCAGCAAAAGATACTCCAACCCCAGACCCTTCCCCAAAAGAATGAAGAGTCATAATTCCAACAACAAGAATGACCTTAGCTGCATCTGCTCCCTTTATGTCCAACATACTCATTTCGCCATATTGCTCAAGAACCTGAACATCAGAAAACAACGCAAGACATGATGACATCGCAGGTGGTCGACAATAAATGCCTACATTCAATATTAGGGTTAGTTATGTTTAACGTGTGGAATAGAAAATGTGTGATCCTTGAATCACGTTCTTTGTTGAGGTTTTCAAAAGACAAATTGGCAGATTTAAACATGTGCGATTAGCTTCCAATGTCAGGGTGTTCTATGCTTTGTTTCTGATCACCAAAATTTCGATATTAAGTGAAACAGTGATATGAAACATCAAACCCCTAATTCACTTGATTCCTATATTGTTCTGTAATTCAATGAATTTAACTAGTATTAAAAGAAAAATTGCAACAAGATTGCTGCATTATATGACATCATGCAAAAGCTAGAAAGACCTACTCAACGAACTCGAGTTCAGCTGATGTAGGACAGCTTTTGAAAACTTTNTATGAAACATCAAACCCCTAATTCACTTGATTCCTATATTGTTCTGTAATTCAATGAATTTAACTAGTATTAAAATAAAAATTGCAATAAGATTGCTGCATTATATGACATCATGCAAAAGCTAGAAAAGACCTACTCAACGAACTCGAGTTCAGCTGATGTAGGACAGCTTTTGAAAACTTTGAATAGAGCTCCCTAAGGTGACGTTTTGGCAGATTTAGGTTATGGTGAGTTTCTGAGGTTATGATTCTACAAGGTAGAATAACGATTGTTGGATTTGTACTTAGCTTAAGGTCCAAAGAAGTTTGGTTTCAAAAGAGGCCATTCAGAAAATTCAAGAAAAAAGTGCTCTTGATGTTGTGGAAAGCAAGCTTCTAAGGTCCATAAGAGTCAAATTGAAAACCAAAAGAATGGGAAAATGTTGGGGATGGATGGGGCTTGTTCGAGTGAGGGGTTTTAAGGGTTGTTTCAGACTGTTCTACTGCATTGAATGCTACTATGGAAACAGTAACTTCACTGTTTAAGTGGTATCAAGCTGCAAGGGTTCAGGATTTGGTAGAGAGAGGTCTGGACTGCAAAGTATTGACTTGTGACAGCAAACTTGAGTAATTCAGACATAGTAGTTATGTAAGCCCAAAAGTGTAGAAATTTAGAAGAGGATGAAGAGGAAGAAAAGAGAGAGTAAGAACCACACACCAGCCTCACAAAATCCTAGAAACCAAACACCAAATGAAACATTAATAGATCTGACTAGTAGTGCTTTCACTCAAAATCAAACATGCTAAAGCCACTGTTAGCTACCAAGGGCACTATCCCTTGGACCAAAAGGCTTATTGGTGGTTGGGGGTCACAGTTTGTGTTTTGACTTCCACTGCCTATGATCATTATTCAGCCAGTAGATAGCTAATGCATCATCAGCTAAAAAACAGAAAACCACTAAAATCAGCTATGGAGAACAATAACGACGACAATCACAGTAATATAAGAAGAAAAAGTCACTGCAAAGTAGCAAAAAGATCTCAAGAATCAGTAAAGCTCGTCACCTTTTTACAAAGCCAAATGAAGACACCACCTGTCAAAATACCAATCACAACCCAGTTGCCACTACCATGGTCCTGCCCTTCCTGTATGAGGTCAAAGCTTGCAGCCAACATCACACCAGCAGCCATTCCATTGCATATTCCAGCCCACTGGGGATCGAGCTCCACAAAGAAGAATGGAATTGCACCTAAACCAGTAGTGGCCGCCATTGCAAGTGTGAACAATGCAACCGTGACCACCGATACTCTGTTACTCAAACCCTTCCTTTCACCCAATCCGTTAGTAGTACCATCTGAACTGAAAGCACGCTCTTTACCTGTTCCATCTATAACAGTACTTCCTGTATTCTTCAATGGAGCAGTTATTAATCTCTGTGAATTTTCTTTTTCCTCTGCTCTGACATAACTATTCAAGACCACTATAAATAGCAAAAATAGCAGGACCTTTTTGAATCTCAGGTCCATCCTTGTTCATATGTACACAACAAAAAACTGTTGCTGCTTCAACTCCACAATCTGAGCTGATGCATTGTCAGAAGAGTAATGAGAATCATAGGCCTGTCAATAGCCCTAGCTTAATCTCATCTCAACCAACCTTATCAGTGCTAGCACCTCAGGGTTGATCAAACAGAAAATTCTTCTGTAAACAGCAGCTTTCAAAATATATTGATGAAGGTCACGCGCAGCTATACCCCAGTATGTAGCTGAAATGTAGGAGATTGCCTAGTCAAAACATGCTTGATGGCCTCTGCTGCAGGACAAAGACGAATTGAAATGAGCTAATGATTTTGAAACTGAAGCACAAATCCATCATTAATATCACTCGACATCCGAACCACTCAAGTGCCATATAGCTCTTAGAAAGGGAAGGGGAAAGTCTAANTGCAGGACAAAGACGAATTGAAATGAGCTAATGATTTTGAAACTGAAGCACAAATCCATCATTAATATCACTTGACATCCGAACCACTCAAGTGCCATATAGCTCTTAGAAAGGGAAGGGGAAAGTCTAAGTTAAGTGGAGATCCCCTTTTTATTAATAGGAAGAGGATGGGGGTGGTCGTAGAGAGGAGAGTCACACAACCTCCAAGTCAAATGTTATAACTATAACTTCAAGTCTATGCCCATTCTGGTTTTTTTTTTTTTTTTAAATTAGTTTAAGCCAAAAAGATACCCAAAAAATCATTTACAACTATGTAATTTTGCATATCACTAGTATTTAATCTGTTTGAGTGTGCCTAGCAAGACGAAAGCAGTTCATGAACATCGTTGACATCAAATTTACAGTAAAATAAGACTAATGCATAAAAATCTAAAGAAACCACAGCACAAAAGTAGTGTCTAAGAAGAGTGCGTGAAATGAAATCAAATTTACAATGCAGATTTAAAATATAAAAGCTTGATTTTTTTCTTGAACAATCTAGCTAATTATTAAAAAAAAACCAAGCTTTTCTCTTTGTATGCATCTCTAAAGCACCACCTACGATATAATTTAACCATCCGATTATCACCGATTATAACAGAAATAAATTGATGAGCATAAGGGCTCGTCTTAGAAAAGGATTATTGGACAATCAACACTGAAACATTTGGGAAGAATTCGTAAGGAAGGATTATTCAACATCAATAATCAATCTCTAAATTCCAAAAAAAAAAAAACAATAAGCACTCAAATCAATTCAATTCAATCACTGACTTAAGCAAATAATTCGAACCAAAACTAACATTCTAAAACTGCAAACTCTGTCATATAACTAACCCACCAAAAAAACCCATTCTGAAATTAAACCTCAACCCTCCAAGAAAATCAAGAATTTCCAGAACAACAGAGCCAAAAAAGAGCAAATAGAATAGCACAGACCCTAAATTGAAAAACCCAAATTTGGGAGTTATAAATGATCACGATCATTGTTGTTTCGGCATCAAAATCCCAAAAAACCCATCTGGGTATTATTTAATCCTATATACAGAGACAAATCATATAATGTTTGCAGAAACACGCACCTCTATGATGGAATCAGGAATGTAGAGCAGTCACCAGTTTCGATGACTTAGGGTCTGGGAAGATTTGATCGTGCGACTTGGAAGAGAGANCCCATCTGGGTATTATTAATCCTATATACAGAGATAAATCATATAATGTTTGCAGAAACACGCACCTCTATGATGGAATCAGGAATGCAGAGCAGTCACCAGTTTCGATGACTTTGGGTCTGGGAAGATTTGATCGTGCGACTTGGAAGAGAGAGAGAGAGAGAGTAAAAGGAGCTTTCACGTACCACCGATCTGAGGCAACAAGAATGTAATTATGTTTCAAGGAAAGAGTAAAACAGTTGACTTGCNACCCATCTGGGTATTATTTAATCCTATATACAGAGACAAATCATATAATGTTTGCAGAAACACGCACCTCTATGATGGAATCAGGAATGTAGAGCAGTCACCAGTTTCGATGACTTAGGGTCTGGGAAGATTTGATCGTGCGACTTGGAAGAGAGAGAGAGAGAGAGAGAGAGAGAGAGAGTAAAAGGAGCTTTCACGTACCACCGTTCTGAGGCAACAAGAATGTAATTATGTTTCAAGGAAAGAGTAAAACAGTTGACTTGCCCATGGTTTTGAGTCCTCGAAAATTTACTTACTCCTATATTTTCGATGATATTCCACTTACCTCCTCTGATGTTTAAAAATTATACATTCAGACCCCAAATAAGGCTACTAATAGATAGGATTCGGATCAAATTTCGATTGATCCTGATGTAAATCCGANTCCTATATTTTCGATGATATTCCACTTAAGTCCTCTGATGTTTAAAAATTATACATTCAGACCCCAAATAAGGCTACTAATAGATAGGATTCGGATCAAATTTCGATTGATCCTGATGTAAATCCGACTAGAAAGTTGGGTTTCATATCCAATTCGTATGTCTGTCGGATTTTATTTTTGTAATTCATATCCAATTGAGTAGAACTAACTAAATTTCATTTCAATTTCAACAAAAATTTATCAGACACTCAATCGTACGTGTGAGACAAAGCAAACAAGTTAAGGCATGACAGTTCACTTGCAACGCATTGTATGTGTGCATTAACTCGTTTTACAAAAAAGTGATAGTATGATATCAAAAAATAAATTTTTAATATAATAGTTGAGTTACTTGATCACGTCTTTTTGTGAATTTAAACAACCCCTACTTGATCACATGTTAAATTAAATTTTAAAANCTAAGGCATGATAGTTCACTTGCAACGCATTGTATGTGTGCATTAACTAGTTTTACAAAAAAGTGAAAGTATGATATCAAAAAATAAATTTTTAATATAATAGTTGAGTTACTTGATCACGTCTTTTTGTGAATTTAAACAACCCCTACTTGATCACATGTTAAATTAAATTTTAAAACGCTCAACATTGTGTTATACTTCTTTATCCATTTCATTTTCTACTCCCACTAAGGATCAAAATTTTATTTCGAAACGTCAATAATGTTTTCGTTTTTAAAGAGACCGAAACGAATCAGTGATGGAATCAAAATTCAAATACTTCAATGTGTTTCATAATATTTCGAGGTGTTTTATAATATTTTAATATATTTATACAATTATTTTGGAATGTTTCAAGATATTTTAAGATACTTTGGTATAATTCGACTANCTTCAATGTGTTTCATAATATTTCGAGGTGTTTTATAATATTTTAATGTATTTGTACAATTATTTTGGAATGTTTCAAGATATTTTAAGATACTTTGGTATAATTCGACTAAAATTTTGTAAAAATAATTCTTAAATTTTTTATTTTTTTCATTCTGTTTCTGAAACAAGTCGAAATATTTTTAAAACACGTCGAAACATTTCCATTTTCTAGGTAATCGAAATAATGCACCGAAATAAAAATTTGTCCCTCGACTCCCACTTCAATCCGCCAGTCAATCTAAATTTCCCATTACTCAAATAGTTAACCCCCCTCATGTTACTTCCATTATTTCATTAACCCCCTCATGCTGTTTCTACTATTTCATTACCAAGTATGCACACACCCACATAAAACACTCCCTTTTCTTTCCACCGCCCCCATCTCTTTAGTGGTCTGGCCTTCCTCCACTATTTTCTCACCTAGATGACTCTCAGATTAGAAGCATCAAAACTCGAGTGTTGATGGTGACGCATACAACCACATCGGGTAAACTTTTCTACTAGATGACTTTAGTTTTCAAATGTTTATAAGTTTGACTTTTTTTCCCAATAATTTTCAATCTCGCCTTGTCGCACAAAGTACCAGTCAGTTTAATGAGGCACAGAAAACCAGTGTACCAAACAAAGTAGCTGTTAGTCGGTCAAGCCTCCTGCTCTGCACTTCAATTCTATCTTGCCATGGCTTTTGCGGAGGAGGGCCTGGCAAGGATTAAGGGGGTTTTGGGGTTGAGGATGGAGGAAGAAGGTGACGCACATTGGCTGGTGGAATAGGCTACCTTGCGAGTGACTTTTTTTAGCAATAATACGTTGAGCGTAATTGTTTATGTAAATACATGTTAAATGTGTATACTATCAATTGATAAATTGTCTGTGCATTGTACGGAATACCACTAATTCTAATCAAACATGATACGGTCTTTTCTCTTTAAAATTCTTATCTCTTGCAAGACTTTCATCGCTTTCGATCATTGGCTTATTGGCTCATTGGCTACTATAGTTGGATTCCAGTCTCTTAACAAATTAGCTCATTGGCTAGCATCAACTCGAATAAAACAATGCCTCCATGGTATATGGATCACATGATTCTATTACTTTGATGGATCATGTAAATTAAAAAAAGTGTTTTGAAAACCTAATTTCCAATGCAAAAGTGTTTTTCGAAATTATGAAAAACCTTTGAAAATGTGTTTTCAAGAAATGTTTTGTCCGTGAAAATTTGAATCTAGTGTGTTCTGAACTGTAGATTAGATCGATCCATCTAGATCTTGTTCATGAAAATTTGATAAATAAGTTTGAAACTACAATATTTCATAAAATAATTCCACAATAACAATACAATCATAATTAAATGCAGTGATTTTTTTTGGTATGCAATAGGGGTGAAGGACTAGTCAACTTATTTTCATATGTAATACATTGTCAACTATTTTAAAGAAATACATACGTACGTAAACTTACACACACATGTACCTGTAAAAGCAGTGAAAAACTCAATACAAGAATATGGNATATAGTCAACTTATTTTCATATGTAATACATTGTCAACTATTTTAAAGAAATACATACGTACGCAAACTTACACACACATGTACCTGTAAAAGCAGTGAAAAACTCAATACAAGAATATGGAAAACACCTAAATTTTTGCTACTTGCTACATTACAATAGTCATCTATTGGAAGAAATTCTGCAGACAGCAACTACTGATCAGAATGTCATTGGTTTCCATAAGAATGCTAACCAATGTGTCATTTAGTCTCATTAAATGAAATGGCAAGTAATCGTTATGAATCTCTATGCCATCCTAAGCTAGTGTTCAAACATCCATTNAGACAGCAACTACTGATCAGAATGTCATTGGTTTCCATAAGAATGCTAACCAATGTGTCATTTAGTCTCATTAAATGAAACGGCAAGTAATCGTTATGAATCTCTATGCCATCCTAAGCTAGTGTTCAAACATCCATTATCCACTCCCATGCCACCTTGAAGGACAATAGACTTACTAGAATCATTACTGCAAGATGCAATAGCAACTCCATGACATTNTTATCCACTCCCATGCCACCTTGAAGGACAATAGACTTACTAGAATCATTACTGCAAGATGCAATAGCAACTCCATGACATTTATTTCAGCATGTCCAACTTGACTCTCACAAGTTTTTGACATCCTCCTCAAGATCTCATTGTAATGCCTCCCACATAACAAAGACCATGAATCGCACCATAATAAATCTCCTAATTTACAAGGAAAGATTGCATGAATATGTCAAAGAAAGTTTTTCATCCTGCTTAGTTACTAAAACCTTACTTTCCCTTGCACATTGTAAAAACAAAAAATATGATCCCACACATCATCTAAAACAAGTAGATAATTCTTCCCACATAGAATTTTTGGAATACACATATCAGTCGGATGTTTTAAAATTTCCATTGCAAGCATGATCACATTATCGTCACTGGAAACAAGAACCAAAATTTCATATAAAAGGGCAATCTCAGTTTCTCATCATTAGAAGTAACTGAGCAAGCACAACCTACACCAGATGTTCAATTCCCGAAATAAGGAAAGAATGTATAGATAAATGGAAATGAAATCTTACATTCTCATCACAATAAACTACCCATGCAGGCATGGTCACATTTAACTATCCTGTCATAGTCCCCATATGTTCAATTCCAGATATAAGAAAAGAATATCCTAATAAACGGAAATGTAATCTGACATCTAACCGGGCATATCAACAGTTCTGCGATCAACCTATTATAATTGCGTGCCCTCATAACCTACAATGGAGATACAAAAGAGTGCCTCTCAATATGAGTAAAATCAGTTCCAAAGAAATCAGTGCTCACAGTGCAAAAATTATTTACCAGGGTGAGAGTAAAGTTTGCGGCACTAGACTCTTCACCAGCATAAACTAATCAAACTTCTAAACCAGAACACTCTCAACTTGAATGAGGGTGTATTAACTTTTATTACACCAAATGTTAGCTTGGGTAGTATCTNACTTCTAAACCAGAACACTCTCAACTTGAATGAGGGTGTATTAACTTTTATTACATCAAATGTTAGCTTGGGTAGTATCTCTTGCAACCCCAAACGAAGGAAGTGTAGGGTTTAAATCCTGAATTAAAAAAATGCATGCAAGTTTGGTTATCAAAATGAAGAGGAACATGCCATGACATATGCCAACCATATGCAACATCTCACAAGCTAGAACACATGCCAATGCAAAGAATGGCAACATTATAATGGAAGCTAAACATAGAGAAGTTCTTATTCTAATATTAACTAAACCACTCGCTCTTGGAAAATGAATTGAGCAAACCTTCAACCGCCAAGGAATGCAACCTTAGGGAGGAGACAAAAGACTTCAATACAACNCCAAATGTTAGCTTGGGTAGTATCTCTTGCAACCCCAAACGAGGGAAGTGTAGGGTTTAAATCCTGAATTAAAAAAATGCGTGCAAGTTGGTTATCAAAATGAAGAGGAACAAGCCATAACATATGCCAACCATATGCAACATCTCACAAGCTAGAACACATGCCAATGCAAAGAATGGCAACATTATAATGGAAGCTAAACATAGAGAAGTTCTTATTCTAATATTAACTAAACCACTCGCTCTTGGAAAATGAATTGAGCAAACCTTCAACCGCCAAGGAATGCAACCTTAGGGAGGAGACAAAAGACTTCAATACAACAATTGAAACTCGTATTCTAAAGCTTTTTTGATATATGAACAAGATTATTGTTTCAACCTACGGAGCAAAGTCGAAACCTGATCTAAGGTCATGAATCGACAAAACAAATTTGGGAATCAAAAGTGAGGAAAAAAATGACTAAAACCCAGATCAATTATTTGAAATATAGATCCTTCATCCCACTCTTAATCAACCACAATATCTCCTAGTCCAACAAACCATTATATCTCGCTTGTTACAGATTTTTCATTTCTTTCNAAAGTGAGGAAAAAAATGACTAAAACCCAGATCAATTAATTGAAATATAGATCCTTCATCCCACTCTTAATCAACCGCAATATCTCCTAGTCCAACAAACCATTATATCTCGCTTGTTACAGATTTTTCATTTCTTTCACTTCTAGCATGCATTGATATTCCAATTCATCTGATATACTAGATACTGCTCTATCACAAAGGTACAAACTTAAAAAAACCCTTTGTTCTATCATTGTTATGCAGGGACAATGATCCAACTAGAGTGACACCAGGTTTATCTTAGAAATTGGAATACACTGGACTGAACAACAATCCAAGACATATAAATTTGAGTTGAATGCATTAACCAAGGGCCATTGCCTGCTGCAAAGGTAAAATGCTCAGACTAACAACCGTATGAGTTCCAATCTAAAGTAGCCACTTTGTGCAAAGAATCCCAAAGGCCATGTGTGTTTCCAATCCATCCATCCCTCCCTCCCAGTACCCCAAGAGTCGAGACCTAACGGATCGATGTCCCTCCTAATCACATCTATTACATATACGGTATAACGTTACCCAGCCAACAAACCTAATCTCACTCTAAGCCAACACACATTCATGAGTAACTTTTCACTGGAAGAAATAAATCCCATCATCTCGAAGCCAAAAATTTCAACTTAACTAACAAATTAGGTAAATTATCTACNGGATTAACAACCGTATGGGTTCCAATCTAAAGTAGCCACTTTGTGCAAAGAATCCCAAAGGCCATGTGTGTTTCCAATCCATCCATCCCGCCCTCCCAGTACCCCAAGAGTCGAGACCTAACGGATCAATGTCCCTCCTAATCACATCTATTACATATACGGTATAACGTTACCCAGCCAACAAACCTAATCTCCCTCTAAGCCAACACATTCATGAGTAACTTTTCACTGGAAGAAATAAATTCCATCATCTCGAAGCCAAAAATTTCAACTTAACTAACAAATTAGGTAAATTATCTACGACTCACCAATATAAAGCTTTGTACAAAACAAACTTATTATATTCAGTGGCACGGCATTCAAAGTATATGTATCAATAGACCAATTAAGATCAACAGAGACTTAAATCCAAAAAAAGCCTATCTGTCATTAATGAGATCAAACATACTCGAACTCATCTTCTCTCAGATGCGCGAAGAACTTGACCGGACCTTTACGCCCTTCAATCTCCGTCACAAACTCAATCTTATACGGAAAATTCGCTGAAATTCTCTTCCCCTTCCAAACCCCAACATATTGTTTCAACACCCCAATCATTCCAGTCAGCTCAAATTCAGGAACTTTGGGCACATGATACACCTTTAATGGCACTTTAACCCTAACCCTAGACCCAATTTTGGCCTCAACCGCTGCTTTATCGTCGTCTTCGGAGTATAAAGATACGGAGGGAGTGTCTATGATTGTGGTGGAATCTGAGGTTGCATTTTTCCTCTGAAAATTGATCGATGGACGAGAAATGAGGAAAGAGGGGAGATTTGGAGTGGAAATGGTGAGGAATTGAGAGCTCTGGTGAGAGATTAATGGCGGTTTTGAGAAGAAGATAGGCGTGGTCATCGTGTTTGATTTTTTTTTTCTCTGGTTGTTGTGGTTGAGGAGTGTGTAGGTATTTGCGTTTCTGTTCGGTTGTGTGGTGGTGTTCGCTAGCGTGTGTTTTATGGGTTTATCCACTTGCCACGGGGATGGATCCATATCCCCGACAAAATATGGTACCGGGTACTACAGTACTTCGTGTTGCTGGGGTCCATTGTATTTATTTTGTACTTTTTTTATTTAACGATTATACCACGTGATATTAATATTATGGTGTAACTGTTATATTAAATATTTATTCTTCCAAATTTCTTTCTATTCGAATATATTTTTTTTAATAAATGATCCAACGTTCATAAATAAGTAGACCCCCTTGTATACAATGAGTCTATTTCAAACTGACTTTTTTGGGTAAAACGTTGCGGTTTAAAAATTTTCATAAAAAATCATAATTAAAAAAATCTCTCAATCATTTGGAGTGCTCTTTGAAAAGTTGAAAACTTTAGAAAAGTTATTTTAGACTACTTTCTAATTTTTTTGGATTTTTTAGTTTTTTGTGTCAAAATAAAAATAATTATATGTATATATAGATTATGCATAATAGTTCTCCAAATATGAATCTCAATTTTTGTTCTTTCACTAATAATATTTTATGAATGTAATGAATAAAAAAGTTATATGAAATTTTCGACAAAACTCAAAAAAATCGAAAAAAATGCTCATAAATCAATTTCTTTGAATCACTCTAAATAAGTTATTTTATCACTTTATAATTTTTATTCCATATTCCAATTGATAAGATAAGAAATTACATAAAAAAAATTTGGGAGAATTGAAAATTTGTACAATGGTCCGTTTATTAATTTGTTATTAGATAGTGATATAATGTAATAGTATTTTCCTTTCTATTCTCGAAACTTATGGGTAGATATTGACATTTTGTATGGATGAGCAATTGACTATCACGTGGGAATCAGGTGACCGTTGTGGGTTTGACACGTGATGCACTAGTGTATGGTCACACGATGTCGTTTTGTATTTTTGGAAGTATACACTATATATTTGACAGTAATGTTTTCCGACTTAACTCTCAAGTAAATAGGGTTTTACATCTTTATATATCTTTCGGGAATCTTGGGAGAGAAATGCACTTAACCCACTTACCCCACTCATTAATCAAGACGTTTAGATGGAATTTCTCTTTGGATAACAAGTACTATAACCGATATTCTTGTGACTGGTTTAATTAGTATTTTCTTTTAATGATTCATATTCTTTGATTGGTTTTCATCTCTATAGTAATCACACCATCAACACTATAAGATCCCACTATACAATTAAAAAAAAAATCATGTAGACAAAGTGTACTTATTTCTATAAATAGATAATTATTGTATTACATGAAAGGTTGTTATTCAATTGAATTCACTTACCCAGTTATATGATTACATCATATCATCGTGACGACGTTATCACGACAATCAATATTATTTCCTGATTTTGAAGAACTTTTCTTTTTATATTTATTTCACTTGATTTTTTGTTTTATATAGGATATAGGATAGGCTTGTCCTTTCTATCGGTCGTTTTCTCTAGTTAATAAAATCTAGATCGCATTGTCTTTTTCTCCACTTGCATTTTTCTTTTTTTTTTTTCCCCAAAATTTCTTAATTGTTAGTGATAATATTTTGAGATGTCAATCGACTCATATGGTATATTTGCTAAATTTATCACACATATTTCCCCTAAAAATTGAAAATCATATTTAATTCTACAACAATTCTAACCCTTTCTTTATGAAGTAATAAAACAATAAATATTTTTCTTAAAATACAAATCAAGCCCGGTTAAAATAAAAATCATTTGTGATTGACGCTATTCTAATCTATTTTATTATTTTTGTCGGTCAATCATATTAGTTTCATATTCGTTTAGAATAGATTTATTTCATCTTACTTTACTATTATAAAATCTTTTGTTAATAAATGAATATATTTTTTGAGAACTTTAAGTTTTGCGCCTTTGATTTTAGGGCATTGGCGGTGCAGAACGAACTATTATACAACCAACAAGTTGTTTGAAACCGAATTGAATAAAATTGTTTCTTTTCAAAAAATTTACTGAAAATCAAAGAAGGAATGTCCCTACGCTTCCAGGCCTAAAACTTGATATGTTATTTTTTTACTTGTAATCTTCATACTAGATGATGACACCACATAACGCAATACTAGTAATAACCCAATACTTTTTTTAATTAAATGAAATAAATAATAATTTACATAAAATTAACCGGATTTGAATGGATTTTTGTTTGTTCTATGTTTAGTATGGTGAATTAATTACACGTTCATATTATAGATATTTGGTTTGACGTGAAATTGATGGTTGTTTTGATTGTTAGGTATGAATCATTGATTTTGGGGGATTATTTTATTTTTTTTCAATTATGTATACATGTTTATATTTTCATGGTCATTTATTTTCAAAGAAAATAATGGCAATTTTTTGTAAAAATAACGAATTATTATTATAATGATTCAACTTCCTTTAATTAAATGATATAAAAAATAACATATATCAATTTAATCGGATTTGCTTAACTTTTCGTTTATTTTGTATTTAGTATGGTGAACTAATTTCACATTTATGAGAATACGTTTGGCTTGATATGAAATTGTTGATTGTTTTGATTGTTGGGTATGAATCGCTGATTTTGGGAAATTATTTTGTTTGTTTTTCAATTTTGTATACATATTGATATTTTCATTCTCCTATTTTCAAAGGAGATTATGTCGAAATTTTGAAAAATATTGGATTATTACTAGATTGATTGATTTATGTGACAAAAAAAAAATATACTAGATTGATTTAAATTTATTTAATTAAATGAAATATAGAATAATTTACATCAAATTAATCAGATTTTCATGGGTTACAAAGTGTTTTCAAGCCGTGGTTGTTTGTCTTAGTTTTTTTTTGCGTTTCTTGATGATAGTTTTCTCTTTACGTATCCGTTGCATTTGTATCGAGTTTAGTAAAGTGAACCAATCACATGTGGTGATTAGTTTATTTTGATTGAAATTGATGATTATTTTGATAGTTGGGTTCAAAATTATGATTTTTGGGAGAATTTTGATCATGAACTATGATTATTATAATGTATAATTATGAACTGTGAATTTTAAGTTTAATTATATTGTGCATTCAAGAGACTTTAAATTTTATAGACAAGTTGAGATTTACCTAAACTCTTAGTTTCGAAAATTTTCCCCAAAAAATATTTGGAGACTATATGGATTTCAAATTTTTTAATTAAAGCAAATTAATTTTTTTTTTCAAAATTAATTAATTAATTTATATTACGTGCCTTCGGGTATCTATTAAATCGAATATTTACTCCCAAACCCACGTTCTACCTCCTCCACCCACGTGACCAACAACAAATCACCACCGTCGATCCCTCCACGCCCCCAATCCTCTCTCTCCATTGCAAACACCGGTCAAAATTCAAATTCAAACTCCGAAAACCCAACTCGACCGTTAACCCTCACCGCCTTTCCCGCCCTTATACACACAACCCTTCACTCCCCAGCTCTATCCCGCCCATTGAACACTTTACGCGGGCTCTCTCTCTCTCTAGAATCTACATACACTATCTCTGTGTTTCTCTCTCTCTCTCTGTCAACCCACGATGACCATTGACATGAAACTCCCGTTGCAAACCAGCAACAACGCCAATATCTCCACCACCGGAAAAACCATCGAAGAAACCTACCAGAAAAAAACCCAGCTCGAGCACATCCTTCTCCTACCCGACACCTACATTGGCTCCATTGAAAAACACTCACAATCCCTTTGGGTCTATGAGAACAATGAAATGGTCCATCGCCCAATTTCATACGTGCCCGGCCTCTACAAGATCTTCGACGAAATCCTTGTCAATGCGGCCGATAACAAGCAGAGAGACACATCAATGGACTCCATGAAGGTTGTGATCGACGTTGAGCAGAATTTTACAAGTGTTTATAATAATGGTGATGGGGTTCCGGTGGAGATTCATCAAGAAGAGAAGGTATATGTGCCGGAATTGATTTTTGGGCACTTGTTGACAAGTAGTAACTACAATGATTCGGAGAAGAAGACCAGCGGTGGGAGGAATGGCTATGGGGCGAAGCTTACGAATATTTTCTCCGCGGAGTTTGTGATCGAGACCGTAGATGGGAAGCGGCAGAAGAAGTACAAGCAGGTATAGAGATTTTGGTTCTTGATTTCTGAGTTTTCTTGAAGTTTGGTCTCAAATTTTCGATCAGGGTTGCATGAGATTTTTGTGTTTATGGGCTATAATGAGTCAGGGTTCCATAGTTTGAATTGGTTTTTTTTTGTTGATTTTTGGTCTTGATTCTAAATTCTTGGGCAGGGTTTTGTAATTGTGAAGGTGATTCCTAATCATTGTTCTTGAATTTAGAAATGGGTTTAGATACTTGCTTCTTGAATTGTGCAACCAATTGTCAATTCCTGGTTAGGGTTTCTTGAGGTTACCCTCTGCCATTTGCCAAAAGTTGTCTATTTCAGGGTGATTCAATTGTGGTTTGTGCTTATTTGTATTGAGGGTTTTATGAAGATCTTGGTTCAATAATTGGCTTCTTGATTTCTGGCATCTAATATACAGTTCCTCTGGGCGCTAATGATGAGTTCAGGATGTGTGATTTCTTTCTTCTTTGTGACATGCTCATATAGAATTTTAACATTCACTCTGATTTAGCTCACTTGTTACTTTTATGATTTATGTTCCTGTTGCCGATTGATTGAATTCAGTTTTTCTGATTATTCCATTTCCACCTAAAAATTATGATGAGGCCACTTCTTTGCTTGCCTCAGCTGTGACCCTCTGTCAGTTGAATTGGTTTTTCNGGTTTGTGATCGAGACCGTAGATGGGAAGCGGCAGAAGATCTTGGTTTGTGCTTATTTGTATTGAGGGTTTTATGAAGATCTTGGTTCAATAATTGACTTCTTGATTTCTGGCATCTAATATACAGTTCCTCTGGGCGCTAATGATGAGTTCAGGATGTGTGATTTCTTTCTTCTTTGTGACATGCTCATATAGAATTTTAACATTCACTCTGATTTAGATCACTTGTTACTTTTATGATTTATGTTCCTGTTGCCGATTGATTGAATTCAGCTTTTTCTGATTATTCCATTTCCACCTAAAAATTATGATGAGGCCACTTCTTTGCTTGCCTCAGCTGTGACCCTCTGTCAGTTGAATTGGTTTTTCTGTTTTGTTCACCGAGGTATCATAGCAAAGACAGAAAAGAAATTTGTAGTCCTTCAGCTTTCTGCAGTTGCACTAGATTTAGATCAAAAGATTTCAGTTTTTGGTCATTATTCCAAATTTTAGTCATTAATTAACATCTGAATATTAAGTGTCTTATTGTTTTGCTCGTAAAATTTCCTCACATAACTTGCGATGTGCATACTTGCTGTACTGCTTTGTATCTATTTGTTTTTCTGTTTTGAAGGTTTTCTCTAACAACATGGGAAAGAATCTGAGCCCATCATAACAAAGTGCAAAGATGGTGAGAACTGGACGAAGGTTTCATTTAGGCCTGACTTGGCGAAATTCAACATGACTCATCAAATTCAACATGACTCATCTAGAAAATGATGTTGTCGTCTTGATGAAAAAGCGGGTGATTGACTTAGCAGAGTGCCTTGGAAAGACAGTGAAGGTTGAATTAAATGGCCAACGTGTTCCTGTGAAATCTTTCCTTGACTATGTCAATCTTTATTTACAATCTGCCTCCAAGAACAGACCAGATTCCCTCCCAAGGTTCCCTCTATGAATTTTTTTATTGATGTTTCATTTTTATTTTAGCTTTAATAAGGGTTGCTAATCAGAATCAATAATATATAGGATTGTGGAAAAAGTTAATGACAGATGGGAGATCTGCGTTAGTCTAAGTGAAGGACAGTTTCAACAGGTACTGGAATCAAAACTGAATCTCAATATTTGTGGAGCAAATAAGGACTAGCCGAATATTATCTAGTTCTAAAATCTGCATGTTTTATTACAATTGGTTATTGGTTGTTCCAGGTCAGTTTTGTAAATGGAATTGCAGCAATCAAGGGCGGGATTCATGTTGATTACATTATTAATCAGATAACGAATCATGTTATGACTATTGTAAATAAGAAGAACAAAAATGTCAACCTTAAAGCCCATACAGTGAAGAACTATTTATGGGTATTTGTCAATGCTCTTACTGACAACCCAGCTTTTGATTCTCAAACCAAGAAGACTTTGACACTTCGTCAGAGCAGGTTCGGTTCTAAATGTGAACTCTTGCAAGAATTTCTGAAAAAAGGTTACATTCTTGCTGTTATCAGCTTATTATTTATCCAAGAACGCATTAATTTATGCCTTGTATGAGATCAAAAAGTGATTATTGTTGGTTAATTATTGTTGCAGTGGCCAAGTCTGGTGTGGTGGAAAATCTGCTCTCATGGGCAGACTTTAAGCAGTGCAAGGACCTTAAGAAAACTGATGGAACAAAGAGGCAGAGGATCACTGGAATTACTAAGCTAGAAGATGCAAATGATGCTGGAGGGAAAAATTCTGATAAATGTACTTTGATCCTGACAGAAGGAGATTCGGCCAAGGCTTTTGCGGTATCTCATCAATGCTTTTCACTCAACTAGTTACCTGTGGGGTCTGTATTTGGATGAAAATTAAGTTAAATTTATGCAGATGGCTGGAATTTCTGTCATGGGTCAAAACTATTATGGTGTATTTCCTTTGAGAGGTAAATTGCTGAATGTCTGGGAAGCAAACCATAAACAGATCATGGAGAATGCAGAAATTCAAAACGTCAAACAGATTCTTGGACTCCAGCATGGAAAAGAGTATGACAGTGTCAAGTCATTGAGATATGGTCCCTTGATGATAATGACTGATCAGGTTATTTGCTTTCATTTTCTTCCACCCTTGGATAGATTTGTGTTTCTTACTAATTACTTGGTAGGCAGAAGAAGTTTTTGACAAAGGTCTTATTACCTGTGCAGGATCACGATGGCTCTCACATCAAAGGATTATTGATTAATTTCATTCATTCTTTCTGGCCATCATTGCTGAAAGTTCCATCTTTCTTAGTGGAGTTCATTACGCTAATCGTGAAGATTTGTTTTAGTTCAAGATTGAGTCCAGCCTTGGTGAATGGTAATCTTATTGGAAGAAATCTGTCAAGGAAATTTTAAAATTTTCGATTCATGGTTGTACAGGCTACTCACAGAAATGGAAACATATGATCCTTCTATTCCATGCCTGAGTATGAATCATGGAAGGAAAGCCTAGGGGGCAATGCAAATGGTTGGTCTATTAAATAGTATAAGGTTTGTTTAATCAATTTATGTGCTGTGAACCAATTAGAGTAGTCGGGGTACATCAGACTTGACTGTTATAATCATTTTGCTGCCTGGCAGGGGTTGGGAACAAGCACATCAAAAGAAGGAAAGGAATACTTCAATGATCTTGGAAAGCACAAAAAAGATTTTGTCTGGGTTGATGAGCAAGATGGTGATGCAATTCAGCTTGCCTTTAGTAAGAAGAAGATTGAAGCAAGGAAGAGTTGGCTTAGAAAGTTTGAGGTTGACATTTGTGCAATTTTTTTCAGAGTTTTTAAGTTGAAGAGGGTAACGTATCTAATAATTCTTTCCTCATGTTTTTCAGCCTGGTACTTACCTTGATCAGAAGGAGAAGCTAATTAAGTACAGTGACTTTGTCAACAAGGAGCTTATACTGTTTTCAATGGCAGATCTTCAGAGGTCAATTCCGTCAATGGTTGATGGACTGAAACCAGGTCAAAGAAAAATTCTTTTCTGTTCTTTCAAGAGGAACTTTGTGAAAGAAGCAAAAGTTGCCCAGTTCTCCGGTTATGTGTCTGAGCACTCGGCTTACCATCATGGTGAGCAGAGTCTTGCCAGTACCATTATTGGCATGGCTCAAGATTTTGTTGGCAGCAACCACATAAACCTTCTTCAACCAAATGGTCAATTTGGCACCCGTCACCAGGTGTGAGGAATAAAAGGTTACATTTTTCTTCATTCATTATACTTGCACTTTCATAGTTTGTCATGAAATGTATGAAACTTTTATTCAGGGAGGTAAAGATAACGCAAGTGCTAGGTATGTATACACTCGGCTCTCACCTATCCCCCAATTCCTGTTTCCCTAGGACGATGACATCCTTCTTGACTACCTGAATGAGGACGGGCAATCTATTGAACCTACTTGGTAAGATTTACTACTTACGCAGCATAATCAGGTAAATCTCGAACAAAATTCTGACAGTGACACTGATTCATTTACTGTTTCAGGTATATGCCAATTATACCAATGGTCCTAGTCAATGGAAGTGAAGGAATAGGGACAGGATGGGAGTTCATAAATCCCAAATTATAACCCAAGGGAAATAGTTGCTAATGTGAGGTGTTTGTTAAATGATTAGCCAATGGAGCCTATGGATCCATGGTACAAAGGATTCAGAGGACACATTGAGAAACCATCAGCAAAAGAAGCCGGGGTTAGTTACACTATCAGTGGAGTTATAGAGGAAGTCAATGAAACTACACTCAGGATTACAGAGCTACCAATCCGCAAGTGGACTCAAGATTACAATGAATTTCTGGAATCAATCATGACCGGGAATGATAAGATAAAGGATCCATTTATCAAGGTAAATTGGATATCTTCATAATTGATGTTAATATTATCTTGAATATATTGAAGAATTCAAGTTCTCATAGCTGAGTATACATTTTTGCAGGACTATAGGGAGCATAATGATGAAAATACTGTACATTTCGAAGTTATATTGTCTGAGGAGAACTTGATCTTGGCCAAGCAAGAGGGGTTGCTGAAGAAATTCAAGCTAACCACTACTATAAGCACAAGTAATATGCACCTCTTCGACTCCAGAAGGTGTAATAAAGAAATTTGACACGCCTGAACAAAGTATGTGCTGATTTTGAAAAATTTTCATATTCATCCATGATTTATGAAAATTTTGCTATAATTTCCATCAATTCCTTTTTGGCAGTTCTTGAGGAATTCTTTCATATAAGGTTGGAGTTTTATGAGGAAAGAAAGGCAAGTTGGTCAAACAGAAATATTAGATTGCAGATGTTCTGATTTCTTGATTATTTCATTGTAAGACATGGCCACCAACTGTATTTTAACAATATGCAGAAAGTTCTGCAGAACAATCTCGAAATGGAGCTGTTGAAACTTGACAACAAGGTTAGGTTTATTCTGGGGGTTTTGGAAGGCAAGATCATTGTGAGCGACAGGAAGAGAGCAGATTTGTTTATTGAATTGAAGGAAAAAGGTTTCACTCCTTTCCCCCAAAAAACCAAAACTGTGGAAGCTGTGGTTGCTGGGGCAACTGATGATGTAGAAGAACTTAAGGAGAATTCTGAGACAGTAACCAGCAAAGGTGTACGCACGAGTGATTATGAGTACTTGTTGTCAATGGCAATTGGGACCTTGACACTTGAGAAGGTTCAGGAGCTATGTGCAGATAGAGATAAGCTCAACGAAGAGGTTGATGATTTGAGAAAGGCAACTCCAAAATCTATGTGGACGAAAGATCTTGATGCTCTTGAAAGAGAGCTTGATGTATGAATTCAATGCTTGGCTTTTATTAACGCTTTTGAGTCATGCTGGTATCGTTCTGAATTTGTGTGCATATGATTCAGGAGCAAGACAAGAGTGATGTCCAGGCAGAGGTGGCTAGAAAGGCGATGAAAAGCAAGGTGATGACTGAAGCTGGTCTTAAAGCCTCAAAACAAGCACCAAAAAATCCACGGAAGAATACTAAGAAGGGTAGCCATCCAGAATCCATTTCTGAACCATCAAAAACATTAGCTACATCTGTAATCGAAACTGGTAAGTCCAGTTCCCATATTGTTCTATTAGTGCAAGTNAACTGATGATGTAGAAGAACTTAAGGAGAATTCTGAGACAGTAACCAGCAAAGGTGTACACGCGAGTGATTATGAGTACTTGTTGTCAATGGCAATTGGGACCTTGACACTTGAGAAGGTTCAGGAGCTATGTGCTGATAGAGATAAGCTCAACGAAGAGGTTGATGATTTGAAAAAGGCAACTCCAAAATCTATGTGGACGAAAGATCTTGATGCTCTTGAAAGAGAGCTTGATGTATGAATTCAATGCTTGGCTTTTATTAACGCTTTTGAGTCATGCTGGTATCGTTCTGAATTTGTGTGCATATGATTCAGGAGCAAGATAAGAGTGATGTCCAGGCAGAGGTGGCTAGAAAGGCAATGAAAAGCAAGGTGATGACTGAAGCTGGTCTTAAAGCTTCAAAACAAGCACCAAAAAATCCACGGAAGAATACTAAGAAGTGTAGCCATCCAGAATCCATTTCTGAACCATCAAAAACATCAGCTACATCTGTAATCGAAACTGGTAAGTCCGGTTCCCATATTGTTCTATTAGTGCAAGTTTTTGTTTTTGCTCTGGGCTTTGTCAATTGCTGGTTTTTCATCAGATATTGTTCCTGAGGTGGTGAAACATAAAGGCAAACCAGGTTCAAAGAAAGCTCCTGTTAAAAAGGTCTTAATTGCTAGATTTCTTCATCGATTTCATTTTCTCTCACATTAAGTTTTTCTTTGACAACTGTAAATTTACTTCAACAGGGAAAATCTTCTTTGGTGGTTCCTGAAGATGACGATGATGAAATACTTGAGCTAAAAGAACGACTTGCTGCTTACAACCTCCACTCTTCCCCTGATCACTCAGAAGGTAAAGCCTTATCTGCTGCCATTTGCGGTTAATATCTGTGTTCTCTGTTACGGTATTCCAATTATATCAAATTCAGTAACTGTATTCCTTTGAGTAATTTGGAAGTTGGAATTTAGGAGTCCATTGGAGGAACTTCAAAAATTATCCTTAAAGATAGTAATTGGACTTTTCTTTTCAGATGTTTGTGAATATTGTGGAATATTACATTATAGAAGGAAAGGGAGTCATTGTTTGTGTTCTTTAACTTTTAATTTATTCCTCTATAGCCATGGAAACCGAAGTGCCTCAAGTGCAGGACAGGAAGAAAGAAATCAGCAGAAGGGCTGCTGCACAGAATAAGCCTTTGTCAACCCTCACAGAGATTTCGGACGACAATGACATCAGTGATGAAGATTTTGAACTAGAAGTGGTGACCGCACCAGAAGAGCAAAAGAAGGGAGGAAGAAAAGTGACAGAATGCGAAGGCAGCCAAACCCACTGCAGCAACAAAGAAAAGAGGGCCTGCTAGTAAGCAATCTCAGTTAACGGGACAGAAACTGATAACGGAAGTCTTTGAAGCTTGCAGAGAAGAATTCAGGCACCTCACCTCAGAAAAAGGTGACGAAGATGAGAGCATCTCCATTCAACAAGAAAAGTGGTTCCATGTTGGGAAGGATTGGTAAAGAAGCTGAGGAAAGGATTGCACTGGAAAGTGAAAAACAACAAGGGAGCTCAGCTTCTAATTCAGACAGTGCTGAAGAGATGAATGAAGCTGTGGCTCCAAGAGCTAGACCACAGAGGGTGAACCGTGGAAAGGCAAGGTATGTTCTTGATGGGACTTTTCTGAGATACTCTATGATGAAGACACGTGTTCTCGGTATTACCAAAACACTGTTGATAAGATCAAACACCATCGGCGCGCAAAGGTCCTCGCCCCCGAGGTACTCGTCATATAGGATCATGCATTCAGTATGTTTTACAACCGACACATGTCCTCGGTCTGATATGTACTTCAGTCGGCATACCTTCCTCGGTCCCCGAGATGAGCCTTTCCTCGGTGCCGAGAGGTACCCCGTCCTGGACGCTTCCTCNTCCTCGGTCTGATATGTACTTCAGTCGGCATACCTTCCTCGGTCCCCGAGATGAGCCTTTCCTCGGTGCCGAGAGGTACCCCGTCCTGGACGCTTCCTCTACTCCAGGATAAGCTATTGACGTACAGGTCATTAGCCTAGGCTAGTCTAGGCTATTCATCATGACCTCGTCTTACACAATTAGTGTCAGAACGTACTGGAATGCAGGGGCCACAGCCAATGGGGGATGGACGCGTGGCATATGATATCACATCGAAGACAGAGAAACCGCATGCCGTTGCTGACACGCGACTTGGGAAAGCAAACGATTAATTACACCATTCCCTTGATGAGACCGCATTCAATGCGGTAAGGCTCGGAAATGAAAGGCAATAAATGCTCCTAATACAGAGCATTTATTGCATCCTCCCCGAGAGGAGTACATTGTACCGTCGGCATCCCGATGACCCAGCATTGATTGCTCGGGACCCCGAGCAGTTAAGAAGAGAAGACATTCCTCATCAGAATCAGTGCGCACACTGCCTGTACCTAATGATCACCTACTGACTACACTGACAGCAATCATGAGCTTTTGAGGTATAAATACTCCTTGCAAAAGGCAAGACGGGTATGCAACAAAAAACTCTTTACTACAATACATACTCAGTGTTTTCTCCTTCCTCTCTCTTTCTAAAAGACTGACTAGATCGTCGGAGGGGATACGTCGGAAAACACTCCGGCACCCTTCTAACTTGTTCTTCTTTGTTCCAGGAACCTCTTTCAGCCTTACTGGATCGTTCTTCCGTTCCCAAGATCTCCCATTGCCGTTCCAGGTTACCACCGTACCTTGCAGGCTGTTCCAAGCAGCGTGTTTGGTCACTCAACCGACTCACTCGAGTTCACCAAGGGAGAGATCTGTTCTCGTTTTTTATATTGTGCAGGATCTTGCACGCACAGTTCTAAGTGATTCCGAGAGCCGATAAAGCCACTGATGATTCTGAATTCAATGAAGATGAAGATTCGGTCTTTCCTTGGTTCAGGCTAGATCACTAAAATTAGTGAGAAACGGGAATTAGAACTCATTTCCTGTACTTCATTTCATATCAAGGCATAGACACAAGTGTTGCGAATGCAGTGATTGTATTAAAAAAAAGGATTACTAATTTACACCTTATTTGTATGATTGCTACTATACATAACAGCTCTGTTTAAGCCTGCAGTGATTTAGTATTTTCATAGAAATGGAAATGATCCTTGCAGTGATTTAACAGATAATTTTCATAGACTTAACTGTATAAGCAAAACAAATTTCACTCAGCTTTCCATATCCACAAAATAGACTTCTGTTGTGTTTTTGGTTTTGTGCTCCTCCCTCTTCTCCGATTAGATGCACTAGGCATCACTCTGCCAATAATCTAAGGTAGCAAATGAAATCGAAGAGGAAAACCAAACGAAGGCGATCCATTTCATGTTGCAAGAATGAACAGATCGAAGGCGAAGAGGAAAACCGGCTTCCAATTTCCTCCACTACTTGGCAGTCATCGATGAATTCGTTCTTGAGAAGCTGTAAATAATCTGCTGGCATAGCTACCAGAATCTCTCACCTTTTGTTATTGAGTTAACTGAATTGTGTTTCTGGACTTCATCTTATTCATTAATCGTCTTTAGCACTATGAACTGCATTCAAGTTTGTCCAAAAAGGGAATAAGAATACTTGTACATAGTAAGCCTCAAAATCCAACAATAGCATAAAATTCTCTGGTGAAATTCAAAATTCAGTCTCAGTACTCTCTGAGGAAGGGACTTTAGCCTGCCATACGGCCCCCAGTGATTATGGGGTAATTTTTGTAAGTAATAGGATAAAATCTCGTTTGAATCTTCTCCAATACATTTTTCTGTCAATTCTACTCGATGATGGATAGCTCCCGTGTATTGATGATGGACCCACTTAAATGCAAGAAATCACATTATAATTCATGGCAATTGAGTGGGTTGTGATTGAGAGAAAAATAGCTTTGAACAGTTTAAGTTCAAACGAAGCCTAAGAATTGTCAATCGACTTGTTACCATGGAACTCGATTCATTGATAATATAATAAATAATTTTTTTACAATGAAAGATAAGAGAGTAACACCTTTAAAGTCTCATAGATAAGATATTGGATAAATTTCATCTACACCCCCCTTGTAGATAAGCTTAATTTCTGCCCCCACACTCTGTCCCAATTCTGAAATTTCTTACACACTCTTTTCTGGTTTTTATTTATATCCACTTCAAGTACACCCAACCCCACCCATTGCCATGACAAACCATTACTGACAATTTAAAAAAAAGAGTGATGTCATCGTCATTTTCTTCAAAAATGTCAATTTTACCCCCAACTCCCTCACGACCATCCCATCCCATATCTGCCTCCATTTACACACACCACTGCTGTTTGCAGCACATCCTCCCTCCTTCCTACCTATTTTACACACACCACTAAACTATCTATCTTGTTAATATTTAATTTCATCAAATTAATATTTAATTTTATCAAAATCACATTAAACTTCATCAAATTGCCAACAAATTAATATTCAATTTAATCATCGTCAATTTTATTAAATCAACACTAAATTTCATCAAATTAACATGAAATTGATCTTAAATTTTATAAATTATTTTAGCAAATTAACATTTAATCTCATCAAATCGATATTCTATTTTATCAAATTAATACCAAATTTTATCAAATTAAAATTTTAATTTTATTTAATTAACATCAAATTAAAATTTAATTCTGTCATATTTGCATTTAATTGCATCAATTTAACAATCAAGTTATGAAATTAACATCATTTTTTAAATTTTATGAATTGAACATTTAATTTTACTAAATAAATTTCATTTCTCCAATTTAACACCAAATTAACTTTCAATTATATCAAATTAACATTCAATTTTATAAATTTAATATTTTGTTTTATCAAACTAATATTATTTATTAAATTAACACTAAATTGGTATTCAATTTCATCAAATTAATATTATGTTTAATCCAATTAATATTTAATTTAATCATATTCATACCAAAGGGATTTTGGTATGTATGTATATGTATATGTCTATAAATTAAAGACACTTAATATGTAAAATAGTGTAGAACTTGAAAGGAAGGTGGTAAAATAAGTTTTCTCATTAGGTCTGTTAGTAGACAAATTCTAAAAAATTGTAACAGTGAAATTTCAAAATCGGAAAAAAATTGTCACTTAAGTTAAACTTATCTACAGAGGGTGTGTACAAAAATACGGAATGAAATCTACTCCGATATATTTTTGTTTCCATTTTTCTTCTTCATACAAGACATCATTAAATCCAAATGATTAAGGGCGAATAAACCCGCCAAGAAGAAAAATAGAGAAAATAAGTATTGAAAGAGATCACAATGCCTAGAGTACTTACAACAGAGATGTGACTCGAAAATAAAGACATTTCTTTCTCTTTCAGCATTCTCGTAAGTATAGGAGGAACCACCTCTTCCCTTACATCCTTCTCATTGCTCAGTATCTCCTCCTTGCTGCCTATTCCAACTAAAGATTTCATGCCGACAGTCATGAACAGCTAGATGTATTGGCCCTATATTTTTCAATCAATGAGTCTAAGTATATCCCTCAGTTGTTAATGGTGAATGAACTGCCAAGAAGAAAAATAGAGAAAAAAAATATTTAAAGGCATCTCAATTTCAATCCCAAGAATACTTCAACTAGACAAGTGACAGGAAAATAAAGACCTCTCTCTCTCATAACTATATACGAAGAACCACCCCTTCCCCTGCATCCCTCTATTGCTTAGTATCTCCTCCTTGCTGCCTATTCCAAGTAAAGATTTCATGCCAACGGTCCTCAAAAGCTCAGTGATCAGTGTGGCATTTTCTGGCCAAATTCAAACTTAGTCCTATTACTCTTTGATGAAGCATACACTTTTCCTTCCATTTTCCTCAAAACTTGCATGATTTCGTAAAATAATAAACTCCTTAAGGAAGTGTACAATTTGCCTCAAACTTCCATGATCTGGTAAAACAATAATCACATCTTCCTGACCCTTGATATATGATTAGCACATACAAGTACCCAAGGATCATATTTGCAAGTTTGTCTGTACCAGATCAATTGACTCACCAAACTTCAAATGCTATCACCATGGAAAATTCACCTGCAACCAATTAGATTTCTCTTCCCAATTATACGCCAGCATCTCCTATGAACTCTGTTGGCTTGATTAAACATAATGCAGTCAAGCAAAGAAATGAACAGACATTCTTTTTACATATTACACAATGAAAATATCTTCATATTCAATCCCCCCCCCCCTCTTATCTCTCCCACCCCAAACACAAAAACCCACCAAAAAGAAGAGTAAAAACTATCGTAAACTCATTTTGGTGCAAAATTTTTGAATATTGTCCTCCATTAGGTAGATTCATCAGAGTTCCTCACAAATAATAAATAACTACATATCAATTTATGCCCAATAAAAACTAATAGTTTGTTTATCCATCAAAGACCACTGCCAAGTTTCTATACGAAACTGGATGCCAACAATCACCCCCAAAGCATATTGGACCTATGGCCTTCCTAACTGAGTCTAGACTGATGTCTATAACTGGAAACTTCTGTCAATAAAGAGATGGAGAAGTCCCTGTACAGATTAAGGTTAGCAGCACAAAAATAAAAAGGGCACTACATTGGAAGATACATCTACAAATAAGAGAACACAAAGTGGAGTCTATTCTTACAACACGAGATACAATAGGCACGAGGGTCAAAAGGTAAGATTACCAGAGGTGCTGAGGGCACTGAAGAAAGAACCTGCTGCTTAATCACATAGAAAGATTCCTTCTTGTAGCTTCCATTTTCAACATCATGTCTTTAATATCTGCTTCCATCCTTGTCTTCATCTTCAAGTATTCCTGATGAGCTCTTTCTATAGCCTGGAGCTCCTCAAATTTTTGCTTGCGCAGTTCCTCAGCCTCAGACAAACGCAATTTTGTGATTCGACTCATATATTCCTCTTCAATTTTTTCATTTTTAGCAGTTGCAATGCGCTTTAAACCTTCAGCTTCTCTTCGTGCATCATCAGCACGTGCTTGGAACATTTTGGCCTCTGCCTGTTTGATTCTCACAACGCTCTCCAATTCATCAAAAACAGGTTCTTTTCGAGCACTCCTTTGTAAATCTGAGTTCAGTGAGTGTATACCATTCTGGGTGGGATCAAATTTAGTAGGTATATTAGCAGCCTTTTCCACTTGAGGAGACTTTTCTGCATACATGGATTTTACCCACGCAGCTTCTTGGCTGGACCCTGCAATACCATTGCTGCTTTCTCCAAGATTCTTTATGGATTGTTTCTTCACAGACACAAGGTGTGTGTTGCCAGACTTTAAGGAATCACTTCCTGCAATCACAAGGAGAGATGTTAGCAACAACATTTTGGTCTGGATTGCAGATCCACGAAAGCTGAAGATTAAGATGATAGACATGCTGCTATATGTTATAGATGGAATGACAATTCTATCATGGCCATCGCAAAAGTCATGCAATGATTCCATATAAGTAGTGATGACTCATTTTCAATTCACCATCCCTTATTCATCCAATAACATAAAAAACTAGTGGTATATCAATGCCCTTCTTTCAACCCTTTGGTGATGCGTAAAGAGCATAAAGTGGCAATTGGAATTCACAATGCAAGCATAATATTAAAAGCCACTTATACAGAATGGTCCACAAGTTCCTGTGATCATTGAGCCCAAAAATCCATACAATAAAGAAAATAATGACTTTAAGAAAGCAATTCATAATGATAATCAGCATAAAAACAAAATACAAAACTAATGGAAGATACAAAACAATCATCTCAAATGCAGTTGCTTTAAACATTCTTTGCATGGCAAAGTCTCGTCATAATCACGAAAAGGGGAGTCCTAGTAGTAGGAATAATCCAAACAACCACAGGTTCTACTCGAGAAGAGACCGATGAAATATTTTCAACAGAAATTCCAGCCTGAATTTGGTCAAGGACTCATTCCCAATGTATACAGGCTCCTGACATTTAAAACATACATTTTTGACTTCGATACATTGATATAATTGCCGTAATATCATTAAACAATTTATTAGTGTGGAACCAAGAAGAATTCACTCTTCTTAATTTTCTATTCTATCAATTTT